TTAAAGAAGTCAAAGGTTGAATCAGAGATCGATAATCGACACTTACCTATGCATTCTTCAGCAGCCGTCGATGTGCGTGGTCAGAATGGGTGAACTTTACCCCGTTACCACGGAGCTCCTGGCGTTACGACGAACCTACACACAGAAACACAGATCAATAATCAATAGACAATATTTCATATCAGTTATGCCGTGGCTGCTTCACATCCACACGAAATCTATCTAAATTATGATTCATTCATAGATTTAAATCTGTAAACCAATGAGATTACAGTCAGGGGAGAAAGAACATAGTGACTGGCTGAGAGAGGAAAGGGCGGCTTATCATCATTTCTATGTTCGATTGTTGTTTTAGTTGTCACAATAAAGTTTCTCTTACAATTAACAATCAATACGTCTTTAAAACTGAATATTACATTTGATCGATCGCTGTATATTGGCTAAGGCTATCAGCTGACTTAAGTGTTCACTATACACACGATGTATGATTATTCATTCATTACTGATCAATATCAATACATTTAAAATTGAAATAGTTTCTCACACAAATACTTTTGCCAATATAAAGATTAATTAATTCTGTAATTGATCAGATATTGTTACCGTAACTGCAGTTATACTTTGAGTGTGACAATAGGTTCCCTTTGGTTATTGATCAGATGTGGGGGAAATTTAATTTCCAGGGTATTCTTCAACTGTTTGCAGCATGGTTTTATGGTTACCATCAGAGTATTGATTAACCTACAGCAGGTATCCTTTAGCGGGGCAGCACGGGTTATTGGTTACGATCAGAAGTATTGATTACCTGACAGCGGTATCCTTGAGCGGGCAGCAGGTTATTGTTTACCGACAGAGTATTCATTACCTGACAGCAGTAGCCTCTTTGAGGCGGGGCAGCAGGGTTTCGGGGTCGATCAGCGTCAGTTTGCCCAAACACTCGGCCACCACGTTCCTGGTTCCTTCCTCCTGACACTCGCAGTGTTTGAGCAGCAGAGACCAAACCGACTCCACGTACGGCTTCAGACCGGACACCGACGCCGAACCTCAACACGGACACACAGATTAAAACCAAAGCACACACACACACACACACACACACACACACAGACACTTATCGACACAGTGTGTGAGCTTCTTCTTACTGATGATCTCTTTGAGTGAGTGCAGCAGCAGGTACTGTCTCTTGGAGGAGGAGATCTCCTGCAGGACGAAGGGCAGATACTCCGGAAGATTCCCCACCGCAATACTGCCCAACGCATAGGAGGCTGCCGACTTCACCTGAGAGACAGACGGGAAGAGAGAGAGAGAGACAGATCAATATCTACTAACACCTTACTGAATTAGACTTTGGTTAACAGCTTGTTGGGATGAAGCTGGAGTCATGAAGACTAGACGACACCGACAGAAGACAGCACACATAAAAACTGTTTCCAGCAACCTGAAGAGGTTTTTTTCTGTCTTGGCAGTCAGATGAGAGAAGTTATTGATCGACCCGAGTAAATACAGAGGCTGAGCTATAGCTCGATAAAGATTACAGTTACAGAAACTCAACAAAAACAAGATTTCTTCCATTTAACAGAAAAACAAAAATGAACATTTAAAAAAAGTTTTCCTTGTTGATAAAGCTGCAACTAATGATTTCATTATCAATTAATCTATCACTTCATTTATTATTAATCCATAAATTGTTGAGTCATTTTATGAACAAACATATTCAGTTTCATCAAAGAAGATAAAGAAAAAACAGAATATTTAAACATTTTTGCTTATAAAAATTGACTCAACTGTTAAATTGTTGCCTTTTGATTTTCTGCAGATCAATTTCTTTATTATTCAGCTGATGGTTTCAGCTCTACTCGCTAATTTATACTGAAAGATTTGGACGACTAACGTGCTAAACATCAGCCTGTTAACACGCTGACTTCAGCATTGAGCCTCACATGTTAGAAACTCTTCATGTGGAATCTGAAAGGAGCTTCCTGGTCAGACAGACGGGCGTTACCTCTTCACTGGAGGAGGAGAACGCGTCCAGGATGACGGTCTTGAGCTCTGGTTGGCTGCTGAGGTCCACATGGTGTCCCACCTCGCCCAATGAGAGCAGAGCGAGCAGTCTGATGGAGTCTGTGGAGCGGCTGTTCTTCACGTCCTGTCGGCGCGGGAACAAATAACTTTATATAAACATCCTCCACGATGTGAAGCACACGTTAACCAGAGTATGTGCAGACAGACAGGCAGACAGACAGGTAGTGTACCTGGATGAACTGTCCGACCACGGCGGGTCCCTCGGTGGGGCAGGCTCGGGTCAGAGCGGCGACGCATTTAGCGATGGAGCAGTAGGCCTGTTTGTGAGGCAGAGCGGCACTCTGGGAGTAAACTGGACCGGTCAGCATCCTCAGCAGGTCCATGTAACCGAGACCAGGAGTCTCTGTAGCCACTAAAGCCTGAACACACACATAAATACCTTCAAGGATCAATACACATATTTAAGCATTTATTTTGTTAGTATTTTTTTATATGCATTTTATTTATTAAGCATTTTATTGTGTTAGTATTTTTTTACAAGCATTTTATTTATTAAGCATTTTATTTTGTTAGTATTTTTTATTAAGCATTTTATTTTGTTAGTATTTTCTCATTAAGCATTTTATTTTGTTAGTATTTTTCATTAAGCATTTTATTTGAGTAACATTTTTTATTAGGCATTTTATTTTGTTAGTATTTTTATTAAGCATTTTATTTAGTTAGTATTTTTTATCTATTTTATCTTTATAAACTTCTGTATTTATCGTTCATTACTCAGCTTTATTATCTCCTGTTACAACCCAATAAAAAGTTAACGTAAAAACTAAACTCCAAATAAAGTGTTCCTGTTCTACCTGGTAGAAGTCCAGCATGGCGGCGAGCGCCCCGCCCTGCAGCAGCGGGGATCGAACCAGCGCGATGAGCTGCTGGAGGATGTTCCCGCTGCTCAGCTGACCCAGCGAGGACGGGTGAGTGACGGCCAGCGTGGACAGGAAGCTGAGCGCCATCTGAGACACGTGCATGTCGCTCTCTGAGATGAGAGGAGGCAGCTCGGCGAGGACCGCGTCCACCATGACGGGAGTCACCGCGGAGCTGAAACGCACACGTTCGGAGAGTGTTACCGACAGGAAGGAGGTGGGCGGAGCTTACGGCTGCGTGGGCGTGGCCCGACAGGTGTGTTACCTGTAGTTTCTGAGCAGGATGTCCAGAGCGGCCAGCGTGCAGAGCTTCAGAGCTCGCTGGTTCTTGCGGAGGAAGGAGGCGAGGATGGGAACGGCGTCGGGGAGAACCGGCCTCAGATCGATTTTCAGCGGAGAGCCGGCGATCAGCGTCAGAGCTGCCGGAGAGACAACCAATCAGAACCTCAGTCAGGTGGTGACACAGTAACAGCTGTGAGTCTGGCTCAGATGGAAATGCATGCTGGGATATAGAGTTCAGAAGCCGGTACTGGCCGATCGCAGTCAGCATCCGTTTATAAATGTTATCTGATATTAAAACTGCTATAAAAGGCTGAAAATAAAACTTGTATTAACAAACTGGTGTCACTGTAGCGGACGGAGCACGCCGCGACGTCCTGTGGCGCTCCACGGCGGTGGAGGGCGGGGCTTACCTTTCACTGTCGTCAGTCTGGTGATCTCGTTCTTGAGGCGCTCTAAGAAGATCAGCAGCGTTCCAGGAAGTTCAGTAGGCAGCCGGTCACCTACACAACCAGACGGGAACGATTAAACGACAAAGCAGCGAGGAAAACCAAACAGGAAGCAGCATCGCGGCTGACAGGCGGTGGTTACCTAGGTTACAGATGATCTGCCCCATACAGGAGATGGCGCGCTCTTTGACCTCCTGGTCGATGTCGGCGGCCTTCAGGCGTTTGATTGTACAGGTGAACAGGTCGCTGATGTAGGGGGAGGGGTCGAAGCTGTCCGAGCCCTCTGATTGGTTGTCCAGAGGTCGGATCACCTGCGAGGAGAGAAACCGTAAGAATCAACTCGTCGTGTCAGGAGGTCGGAGAGGTTAACGGCGGGCTGCGGGTTCACGACTCCCACCTTGACGAGCTGCTGCGTGACGAGCAGAGCCTCCGAGGTGATCTTGTAAAAGGGGTCTCCGACGCAGGCCACCACGGGCGGGACGAGGGCGGGGACGTGGGCGTGGAAGGCGTGAGCGGGGTGCGTGACCATGATGACGTGGAGACAGGCCAGGGCGTCGATTTTGAGGTTGGAGCTGCTCGACTTATCGTTGAGAGAGAAGATGATACCTGAAGAACACAGACGGGTATTAATACAACCGACTGCCAGAAGCTGTCACACAGTTGCACTGTGTGATCCAGTCTTCAAGCCACATGTTTACCATCCACTGTTTGATCTTGGTGCTTTTTAACTCTAGATTTGAACCGGATGAAGGATTTTAGTCATCGGACGTCTGGATCTTAAGTTATCAGAGAAACAAGGCTCCTTTGTCTGTCCAACAGCCGTGGGCGAAGCAGTGATTTTTAAGGTGGAACTGCTTTATTCAGTGTGTTTAAGGTGGAACTGCTTTATTCAGTGTGTTTCAGTGGTTTAATCAGCAGGTCTGTTTGTTTTGGAGAGGAGGAGACCTCTGTGGATAATTGGGCTCCCGGCAGAAACCTCCTGAACCAGAACACTGAAGGACATCCTAAACCGGGAGAAGCTGACTGCAATGATGCCAATGGTGGTTGAAGACAACAACTCTAGACGAACTTCTGTCGCTTAAATTAAACTTAGCTGAGCGGAGAGCCACAGACCGAGTAGGAGGGCAGCAGGAGCAATAACAGGAGGCAATAACAGGAGCAATAACAGAGCAGCAATAACAGAGACAATAACAGGAGTAATAACAGGGAGCCCATAACAGGAGTAATAACAGTAATAGGTGGTGTAGTATCACCTGGTATTAGTACTGGGATGTGCTGAGTCAGGGCTCCTGGGAGGACGTTCACCAGCTCAGTCAACATGTTGAAACAACACTGACGGGTTTTGACACTTTTCTCCTTCAGCTGCTTGTGAAGAGCTTTGACTATCATGGGAACCTGCAGGGGGCGAGAGACATTAACGGAGAGTGTGAGAGAGCGTGAGAAAGAAGACGACCACCAGCAGTGCTTCCTGTTTTCTGTGGTCGGCGGTGCAGGATGCTGAGGGTTTCCTGTTAGCGCCTACAGAATGGAAACAGATTAAAGCTCCAACAGCGACATCTGCTGCACGGACACAAAACTGCAACCAGTGAGGAGCTGATTGATTATGGATCGTTACAGTATTAACTCATACAATATGACTTTTCTACATAATTTAGGGCTGCAACTATTATTTTCAAGTCTTTGTTTAGTCTATAAGGCTTCAGAATAGTAAAATCTAATCTTCCCAAATCAAAGTTGAGATCTTTAAATGACAACAATCGGGGATTTTATTAATTTTGCTTTAAAAATTGCTTTATAATTAATCAATCATTGAAGTTGTTGATTAATAAACATTGTTTCAGCTTGTAAATAAAGAAACGTCTGCACAAAACAGTGACTCATAAAGTGAAGCATTTTACTAACAATTTGAATTATTAATAACTAAATTTCCATTAATCATTTAGATTATAATGTGTTTTAAAATACTAAAAATGTCCATTACATGTCCTAAAAGTTTAATGTGAGCAGTAAAGAAAACAACAACAAAGATATTCAATTTACGATGACAGAAAACAAAAAGAAACATCTGGAAACAAACCAAAGTTGGCAGTTATATTTATTAAATAAGGTATTTTATGTGTTTTTAATACCTTTACGAAGCACGCTGACTCTATGTGTGATCTGAGCCGCTTTAAAGTCGACCAATTCTCTAAATTTGACTCTTTAATCTAATAAACAAGGAGTGTTTGTTTCATTCATTCGGTCACCTGGCTCTGCAGCATGGTGAGTGGCGTTTCTCCCTGCTCCATGGCGTCTGGATCGGCCAACCAGCTCTGAGCCGGTCTGGTCTGTTTGAGCAGCGACAGGTAGGCGTGGAAAACATCGGCCTTCACGTTCTCCTCCCTCTCCTACAGACAGACGGGAAGCAGATTAACAAGTATGGATTACATACGTCGGGTCAATAGGCCGGGATTATCTGTGTTAGCCATTTATTGCAATCAACAGCAGTCGGATTAGTCCGATCAATAGGTAGAAATCACTTTAACCAAGAGGTGGAGATTAGTGTCCGATCAACATATAACCTATATTTGTTTTTAACCAACATAAAGAGCAAAGGTTTAAAGAGAAACGTCTCTAATTACTGATTCAACGTCTGTTCTAGTCACACAGTCGCCGACACGCTGGAACAAACTCACTATATCTTTTACACAAAGAAAGGAATAAACTTTATACATTTGCAGAATTTACAAGACGAGGCAAATAATTAAGAATCTGTCAGACGGCTTTTCACAGAGTTTATAAAGTTTGATCCAAATCAAGAACTTTGTGATTATTTAAAGGGAGTCTGGTGCTGATTTTCAGGTTTAGCAGAGATCTGATCTCAAAAATTAAAATACCAGGCGTAAATGCAAAAGCAAGATGGGATTGTTTATGTGCCTCCAGATATAGATCACACTGTAACATCAGGAGTAAATGGGTTGGTGTCATTGATCGGTAGAGCCTCCCTGATCTAAAACCAATCAGCTGATAAAGCCTGGTCATATTCCTCCAGCTACAGCGAGGATACTTTAGGATCCTCCTGCAGTTGACGCCGTCAGAGCGAGTTAACCATCAGGTCTCAGTGAGGAGGAGATGAAGCGTCAGAGTGAGGAGGTGAAGAAGAGCAGCGACGGCTGACGGTACCTTGAAGCGACAGACGAGCGCAGGAGAGACGGAGCGATAAAACTCTGGCAGCATCTCGTGACGAGTTGAGACAACGGCGTCCAAACACTTGGCGGCCGCCCGGCGGACCTTCCAGCTCATGTCGTCATCGTCACTGTACTCATCGTCACTGCCTGGACAGACACAGAGAGCGGCTGCTGTTAGACGCTGCGATCGGGGTTAAAGTTAAAACGGAGTGAAGAGTTTCCACTGTGTTTAACATCAACCACACTGAGAAACACCAGTTATCTTCATCAATAACTAACTAACAGCTGCTTAATTACCTCAACATGTCGATTAAAGTAACTCAACGATTTGTTTCAGTGAAGTTTTGAAGACTTGTGTTATAAATAAATAAAGTCTCTTTAAAGACACATTCAGAATCATTACTGCTGTTTCTGTTCGCGTTGAACAGGCAGCTGATAAAATATAGATATTTAAATAAACTAATATCATAAACGTCGGACGACTAGTAAAATCTTTAGTGGGGGGGCCGTCCTGATATCTCGTGTATGAAGGTGTTTTCATTCTGTGTTTCTGCCCGTTTAAGTGACGAGAAGAAGCTGCTATCTCTCTTTCTCTCTTATAATTCAGTACCTTGGTAGTCTTCATCGTTCTGCTCAGCGTCCATGGCGTTGTCGTCCTCGTCTTCATCGTCAAAGTTGTAGTTGGGGTCGTAGGTCAAGTAGCGCAGGCAGATTGAGATGACCGTGGGGACGTGGGGGTAAACTTCTTTAGGACACCTGGAACGACAGCGTGAATGTGAAGCGAGAGCGACGACAGCGGCGATACGCTGGCGGGGTTGCGGTGTGAATTACCTCCTGACGAAGGACTCGAAGGCCTGGATGCAGTACTCTCTGAGCTCATCGTCGTCGACGTTACAAAACTTCACCACCAGAGGAATGATCTTCTCCAGATACTCTCCTGAACACAGAAAACAGCTCGTTCATTTCTGAGGCGGCTCATTAAAAGCTTTCATATCAACACTTCGATGTCGGCGCCCGTCTGTCTCACCGATCCTGTGTCCGGCCTGTCTGCTGATGGCGGCCGTGCACTGTATGTAGGTTCTGGTGGTCGACATGTTGTCGTTCCTCCCCAGCTCGGTCAGAAGGTGCTCGATCAAATCGATGAAGACCAGATTCCCGCAGGACATAACCAAGTGACCCAGAGCCATGATGGTCCTCTGAAACAGGTTACAACAGCTGTCAGTGGATACAGGGCAGACGCACACCGCCTCCTTAATGATGAGCAACCTAAAAGGTCGGACGCACCTTTCTGACAGCCAGTCTGGGGGAGGTGAGCTGAGGGAGGAGACAGCTGAGGATGGAGGGATGGAAGTTCACCAGCAGACCTCCTTGTCTGCAGAGAGACAGACAGTTAACTGTTTATTTTATTCCACACAAGATTAAAGTCAGCCTTTCTAACGCAGCACAGTTCATTTACTTAGAGATGAATACAACACATGAATCTCAGATGGTAGAGAAACGTACAAGAGAAAACATCTGTCTAGATTAAAGTCAGAAGCTGTTCAGCACATTTCCTGTTGACGTTGTTTACTGTGACAGTATAAATGGAGGATGATGTAGTGGGCAGGTAGACGGGGAGCGGACCTGCAGAGCATGTCAGCCATGATGTCGAGCGCCTCCAGCTGGACAGACACGTCTTCCTGTTTGGCGATGGCGCTCGTCAGGCGACCCGTTATCTTCTTACAAACGCTGGCAGCTAGAGCAGAGCCTGAGACACAGACGGGTGGACAGTTAGACAGCAGTAGGGACGTAACCATACACTCAACTCACCATTCAATACGGTTCACGATTTTTTGTTCATGATTTTATTTTATTTTTTAATCAAAATGAGCTACAGACAAATTATGACCAAATAAAATGATCTTTTATTCGTAGGAAAAAAATCTTAGAGGTGCTTTCTTTACAGAAACTCTGTAAAACAGTTTGTGTCCTCTTATAAAAACTTACATGGTCATCTTAAACAACAAAATACATGAAAAATATCTCCTTTCTTTAGAAACAATCTCTAAACTGGTGTAATTCAATATCTTAAATAACAAAAGAATATAAAATCGACCAAAAAAAAGAAACACTGTTAAACTCTGTTTTTGTGTCTTATAAAAAAAAGTACAACTGCAGTAGTTATTTGTTATGGGGGAGAGGAGATGCAAAGCCTCTCGTCAGGGTGGTTTGTATACTAGTGTTGCACCGATACTTCAAAAGTATCGCGATTCTCAGAAATTAAAAACGTCACGATTCCTAAATTTATTAGTATCGATACTTTTAAGAATGACCACGTTCCAGATTTGTAAGAGACGTATTTCATGTTGGTGTGTGCAACGCATGCTTCAGTGCCTTCCCTGGGATCTCTGTGTTTTCCCCCACCACGCCAGCAAAGAAGCTGCAGCTGTCAATGTACAAACAAACACTATAACCGAGACGCTGCATGTGCGACCACAGTGAACCGTGGCCGCCGTCCACGACTGGTAGAAAAAAGGAACGCAGAGTGAACTATGGCAAGTACTTTGCCTACCCTTGCTGCAGTGAGGGCAAAGCTACCGCTAGTGAGACCTGTTTCATCATCACAACAATAAACAAATGTAAACAAAGGAGCCCAACACTGAACCTGGCAACACACACACCGACGAGTTGTACAAAGGTTAAAGACCCGACACCAGGTTACGTATGTGAACAGATAACACGATCAAGGTTCATGGCCCTAAAACGAGTCAAGAGTAGGCTGACGTTTATTTTGTAGAATCACAATTTGGCACAAAACACCGTAGTTTTACGAGCATCAAGAATAGTAGCACATGGCATTAACCCTCACGGCGTAACCAATTAGCTTGCAATTAAACGTCCTCTGAAAACCAACCTTTCACAGCATACACGTTAATTTTAAAAAGCACAGCGACCTACGCAAAAGGAGGGATTTCATACACGCCTCTTGTAAGAAATATGGACTCACAAAATAACAAAAATTTAACCATCAAAGAAATCAAGCGTAAGAAGTCACGGAAACATAGCCTACATTACATCCATAATCACCAGCTTAAATAATACAGGTTAACCATATTTCCATATTACTTACATGTAATCGTTATGCGTAAGTCTAAAGTACAGTTACACATAACCACTGCAATAGAGATCTAAGTTCAGTATAAAGTATTGCGTACATCCACATAAGACTATTTAAGGTCTTCTGTTATGACAAATAACACATCAATTAAATATTTCATTTCTTCTCTACAGACATCTGGACACGCGTGCATATGCATTAAAATGTTCCCGGTTTAAAAAAAGCACAGCAATGAATATTTTGAGATGTTCCCCCCTTGTCAAAAAGCAAAAAGTATCGAAAAAAGTATCGAAATCGCAATTCTTGACTTGTTATCGGTATCGAAACAATAATTTTGTTATCGTGACAACACTAGACATATCATCACTTTTTAAATTGATATGGCAAACTTGCTAGCAAACAGTTGCTTATTTATACATCTAGCAGTTATAGAGCAACATTATCATTCATTCGGAGTTCTGGCCACATCATAATTATATTATTGATTCACTTTTAGTGCTGTTTTTAGTGTCCAAACCAACTCCTGTGGGAAATATCTGTCTCTTAAGCTGCTAAATGCTCTAGTATATTGGACTAGTCTCTTATTGTACCTGTTGTTTGGTACTGAACAGGTAGTGAACAGTGGATTTTTAGAGATGTTTGCTAAAAATTATTCTCTGAAAGTGGTGAGAGTGAACCAAAACAAGTCTAAAGAATTAGCTTAAACTCATTAATTATTCTCTGTAGGTTCAAGACCCCCTTTGCACTTTCACATACAGTTTTTACATTGTCATTTTGTTGCTGCTTTAAAAAATTTAATATTTATACTGTAAAGTGACATTACGGTTCATTACTCCACAACAATTGGTGTAGAAGAGCTGTTGTGAAGATTTAAATCTAAAGCTATCTCTGCTGTGTTATGGGTTATTTTAAACTCATTTTTAAAACTAAATTTAACAATATATAATAAATAGGTATTATTTAGTAACCTAAATCTTTACATTGGTTTACTGTGGTTCACTGCAGTTTATAAAGTTCATAAAATGTGCTATATTCATGTCTACACTCTAACACATTATAAATGATGTCTTTTTCAGAAAAGTGTAACCATGGAAAACATGGTCATACTTTTCACCACTCATACTTCCTAACAAGTGCTGTTGGTAGATATAGGTCTGTGGTTGTCATGGAAACCGCTCTATTCATGCCGGGTGAAGTACGATTGCTTCCTGTTTGCTCTCCCCTTGGACTTTTCAGTTTAATCGCCTGAAAGCAGGCCAAGTATGAAAATATGAAACAAGATCGGCAGCAAGCACAAACTTTAAACAGCAACAGATTTTTTTGTAGACATCCTTTTTTATGGGCTCTTCTTCTGCCACTGTGGAGGGCATGCACATCTGGATGAATTGTAGTTGTGTTGCTTTGCCTCCGACAACATCACAGCTGAAATTGTTTTTCTTTGCTTCAACTGGCTCACTTTCCTTTATGGAGGTAGACTGATGTCTTCTTCAGCATTCACAGTATCTGACCAGCGGCTGTCAGCTCTTAGTCCTGAAGGTGAGGTTCTGTCTGTCCCTGTAGACATATTTCACACACACACACACACACACACTAACCACATGCTCCTGGTGCATCAACCATACTCTCCCTACAAGGGAAATGTAAAAAAGCTCTTAGTGATAGCCTCAGGGCATTACAAGGTGGCTAGAAAGACCTTTCAGCCTGCTTCATGCTCCTCCATAGCCAATATGCCAATGTGACTCCACCAGCTAACATATGAGATCATAAATTAATTAACTGTAGCTGCACATATTAAACCATTGTATAGGTGCATACTTTTAAAGGTCCAGTTTTATACAGGAATCACATCTGAGAAAAAAGGCTAACATGTTTTAATGTAGAGGCTGCTTAATGTTTTTAGTCAACGAGATGATGCAGTGGTTTGCAGATAATGGCTAATACGCTATGTTTGGTGACGTATTACAGTAAATAACCAATATGATGAATTTAGCCGTAACGTATCCTGCACCCAGTGGTGAGATGGAGCGGGAACCTGCTGAGTGTGAGGACAGAAACAAGTTGCGTATGACCTCTAAGGATTTGGGTGTGTGTATGCAGTCAGAGAACAAGCAGGCTTTTGTAATAAGTGTTTTCAAACTCAGGAACTCAAGGAACAAGAGCTAGATAAAGGTTGATCAATTTGTGGATGGACAGAAAATGATTGATTACAATTCATCAGGTAATGGTAAAAATGATCAACAGATTCATTCATGATGAAAATAATATATAAATATTAGCCTCTGAAATATATAATAAAGATATCTTTCTAGAGTCTCTAGCACATTTCAACAGTGACAAACTCACCATAAAAAAGTGAAAAAGTTATACTCATCTTTCCACTGGAAGCTGCCTCAGAGGACATGTCATAGTCATACTTTTGACTCAGTCTGGACTGACAACATTATTATTATACAGTCACTAACACATAAACCCCTATGTATAATG